TCTGTGAAATGCGCTGACACTCTGATACGCCCTGTTGCCCTCAGTAAACTAGGCTCGTGTTGGTTTGGGATTCGACATCACAGACTGACAAATCCTCTATAAAGGTAACCCTTTTTGCTGACTTTGTTAAATGCAACTGCTACATGGGTTGCATCTGAATTACATTTTACTTCCCATTTGTCCAATCATTTAAAAGAAAAATAAATAAAAGTTACAGCCTTACTGTTCACTGATTGGGAAATCAGCTAGCATGAACACAATATCAGTCAGAATGACTTAGGTGAATGAAAATGGCATTTTCAGTAATATTAGTCCACAAAGCTGAAACCTCTACAACAGTTTGTGCTTATTGTTGTTTGCCTTTGATTTCAAAACAGATTTCTGTGTGGATGTAATGCTGTCCAAGTTCATACTTTGAAGTCCAACATGTTAGACATTTTCCTTTACTTACTTTAGCACATTTTGTCACCACTGAAAAAAAGCCATTAAGCAGAAGAAAATTCCAGACACAGATAGTCAGCAAAGTGCTTGGGCTTACTGTGTGTGTCTTTGTGAGATTTCTAGGAAGGAAACAAAGGAAACAAATCAGTGAATCTACAACATCTGTACAGGATGTACAAAATGTGCCGCAAGCATGTAGAAGAGAAGGGCAATAGGAGGAACTGAGTGGGGATGAGGAAGAGGAGGAGGAAGAGAAGAAGACTATTTGTTGTAATCAAAGCTGAGCGCGAGTGTAAGTGCAGATGGATGCAGGTTGTGCCCGTGGCCCTTGATGAAGTGCTGTTCTCCTGCTGAGCCACCAAACTATTTATACAACACACTGACAGCCTATGGGCATGGAAGAAAAAACTGCTATACTCACTGCTCTTTCTTCCTAATCACTCCATCCCTCACTTGTATCCAGATCCAGTCCAGGATGGTTTGCTGTACCAAAGGCTTGACTGATAAATACAAAGGAGAAGCAACAACTGATGACTGACCGTGGGCTAAAACAGATTCTAAAAAAAAAGTGTTTACAAAAGCATTTCAGCCTGATCTATAGCCTCTGAGTGCTTGTGGTGGACTGAGTGGCTTCTGCCTGAAAAAGTCAGAAAAACCTGAGAGTCAGATCATTGCTGAGATTAAAGGTCATCTGTGCAGTTTGGATTCATCATATCAGAGGGCGAGGCCACAGGATGCAGCTCTGACATCATCAATAATAGATGACCATCAGGCTGGGGACTCTGCTGCTTCTGTCACACTCGTACATGTATGTACACATACAAATACAAACGTTATGAATACTCAGCTGCACAAGTGTTTATGCGCACTGTAGTTGAATCTCTCATAGAAATGTCACCTTGGGCCCAGCTTCTGTGCCTTTATAAAGCTAACAGTGGCAGATGCAGTTTTCTTCAGGTGATAGTTTGATTTAAATTTGTTGTCCTGACAGGTTGCAATTTGTGGTTGTTGTCTTGACAACCATTGCACCATCAATATGTTAAAATTGTCATTGTGGGTATGTTTAGCATGCAGCATTTGGTTCAAAACGCAGCTGTGCCAAAGCTTCACAGAGTCGCTATTGTAGCTGTAGACTCTTGTTTCAATGCTACAGATTGAAATATTTATCAAAATACAACACATGGCTCAGTTACAGCAGTGTCTGTCATGGGTTAATTGATTAATGTGTGATTCTTAATAATATCTTTTATATGTGAGTTATGTTGAACAATGCTCCTCTGGCCAAAATGTCCCTTGCTCAAGAGCACCTTAGCAGCAGTGATGAGAGAGTGTTGTCATTTCACTGCTCCACTTAGATTTATCCTCCAGCAAAGGTAAATATTCAACTTCAAAGATATCTTTAAAAATTCATGAAATGAATATTAAACCAACTTGATTTGTTTGATTAATCATACACCTCTGACAGATTACCTCCTCTTGAGATTATGACACACAGACTTTATTGACTATTAACCTATTATGTAAAGAGCCAACACTATTAACAGCAGCTCCAAAAATAATGACATATTCTGTCATCTTTCAGGAATATAAGCTTTGGTCATTTATTAGAAAGCCCATTCTCTAAGGGTCTGTAGTGAAAAGAACAATCTGAGAGGTTCAGTTCCCACATTAATACATTAAAATGTCAAAGCTATATGTTAAAATGTCAAACCTATTAATGGTACTGCCAGTCTTCAGAGGCAAAATGTCAGGAAGAAAACAAATACAGGATGCAATGAACAAAATAAGGAGTGGACCAGTATAAATGCTGAGCAAAACTAACAATCTGATCTGAAAGACTCATTCAAATAAATGCAAATACCAAAGTGTTGATTGAAGCAGTTGAAAATGAACAAATACTGCTGGTGTTAGAATTGCACAGACTTTAGATGCTCCTAAGAATGGGAAGTGTTGTTCATGAATAAAGAAAATGTAAGTCACAGAGATTTAGTGATGAATGAGAGATTTTGTGGTGTCATGTATTTTTGCTCATATCATTGTTAGTATACATATATTTTAATTTATCTATACCAGGTTTTTTATATTATCAATCAGTTGCCCCTGTTTATTGAGATCTACTAAGCCAAAATGGAAATGACAGTATCCTAACAATCAAATTGTTGTTTATTTGGACAAAAATCAACAACTCTGTCTTCCTTGGCCTCTGAAGAGGCCCCACTGAGAGGCTTCAATCACCCTGTAGGGGGCCAGTGACATAAACACTCCACCGCGCCACCCCCAAAGTCACCTTTCACTGATTGGGTAGGGGGTGGAGGGCGATGGAGTGGCGGAGCAAAGGGAGGCAGAAAGGGGGAATGGAAGCTTCGGAGAAGACTTTTTTATTGTTCCCCCTCGCTTCAGTATTTCTACAACTACACTGATCAATTGACTTGCAGTCAGGATGTTCAAATCAAAGTTTTTACAGATAATCACTTTTATTTTAGCAGTTTATGATGATCACCGGCTGTTGCTTTTATTTACCACAACATTTACACAACATTTACTTTTGCAATGTATCCAACTCTCTCCATGAAATATGGTGACCATTGAGCCAAAACTAGCAGGAGAAATTGAGAAAGAGAGAGAGAGAGAGAGAGAGAAAGAGAGGGAAAGCAAAAGAGAAAGAGAGAAGCATGAAAGAGTGTCTGTTGCTCCTCCTGATGGACCCAGCCAGGCTATTCATTACTCCCTGAACGCCAGCCAGTGTCAGTTATATTACTGCAAAGCCGTCCCTGACTGACGGCCACGAGTGGGGGGAGAAAAATGGCAGCAAAATACTGCTGGGTGCCCTGAGAGAAAACAAGGGAGGGGCTGTGATGGATGGGTGTGTTTGACCCAGGCTTGGTGGAAGGCAGAGATGGGTCTCTTCCAGATGAGACAGGGAGTCGGCAGAGCCCCGGCCCCTCTGCCCAGAGCATCCCAGCCTTGTCAGGATGAGAGGCGTCTCGCTAAACTGCCTCCGTCAGTGCTTCTATCACTTGTGTCAAAACAGACACTCTCCATATTCAACAGATAAAACTGGACCTCACGTGATGGGAATATAGAAGCACGACTAGGCCTTCCACAGAGTTTGTGACAGGCCTGGTGTCAGCATTAGGGCAGATAACCCCCACCTCCCTATAACAGTCCCAAAAACAACATCATGGTAGCAACAGACAGCTCTAGGGTGATTTTATACCCCATATGCCCTTGCATGCTCAGTGAAATCACAATCAGAACAGTGTTAGGTCTCAGCTACTGTATGCTACCTTCCCAGACTGTCTTTGCAAACTGCATGTAGGTCTATATTGCTTATATTTTGCTGATCAAGGTTTATTTGTTTTGTTTATTTGTTGTTTTATTCTGTTATCCTGTTTTTTTCAGTCTTGGTCATCAACACGTGTTTGATGTCTGTGAGTTTGATGTCTCCATTTCATGGATACTGCACATGTTTAATGTACAGTAAACAGCAAAGAGGTGTAAAACTACTACATATCTCTTGAATAAACAGTTTCTGAGATACCACGACGATCTCCTTTCACCCACTTAATCTGTAAAAGTAATTTATTGCTGAAACTACAATAACAGCCCCATGGATTAAATGTATTTTCCATATTATTATACAGTAAAAAACAATTCTTCTTCGTAATAAAATTTGCAAATGTTACACTATCTCAAGGACATAATTGGTTAATTATGTCCTCATGAGGGTTAATTAAATACAAAACAATCTGTGGAAAAGAAATCTAACTTGTATAGTTTCTGTATTGGTAGTAATTCTGCCTGTTACAGCTACTCACCTCAAGTCACACATATACTAATGTACTTTCATATTCCAGATATCAGAATACATTGAAATGTGACTTGTCTGTTTAATACTGAATTCTATTTAGTATATTTAAAGTATGGCCCCAGCTAAAAACGTCCTGAGGCTGTAAGCCACCATATTTAGCATTTATGCTTCACTCTTCTATATTGGAATCTTTTTTGGACATCTTTCCCAGGTTTGAGGTCTTAATGTGACCCTTTCTTTACTGTGGCACTGTGTTTATGATATTTTTGCCTCCCCTGTAGGGGGTCAGACATACATTGCAACTATGCAACAGTGATTTAAGACTAATGCTTCTTAGTTAGTTAATGTCTGGGGACCACCTGATGTCAAAATGGTGTCAGTTAGATTTTATTATGCAGTTTATTATCAGTATTTCTCATTTCCACAGTAAAAAAGGACGACATTCTTTATTTCTGTGTGACAACTATGTACGTTACAGTAAATTCAATATGCTGCGCACAATTTACATGGGTACAATCTGCAATATACTGCCAATGAAATAATATTTGTTGATTTTGAATAATCCGGATAAAATATCCTGTTTATCATGTGACGTAAATTGTACTGACGTCACTTGGTTTACGATTGCGGAAGCAAGTCGTAGCTTTAGCTCGTTAACTCCAAACCAAAACAGAAGGGATGTTTTCGTGTTAAATCCCCAAAGGAATCGCAAATCATCTTAGATATTCCTTTGACTCTGTCTGGTGAACTTACCTGTTGTCGCCCTTTGCTTGTCAGACGACTGAGAAGTAGCTAAACGGCCGAACTGACTGAGATGGAGGTAAATGTTCATTTCCGAGGGTTTAGCTTTAGCCGGTCACAACTTAGTAAAGGGTATGTAGCTAGCATCTTCAAGTTAGCTAACGTTAAAATATAATGATATGCCCTTTATAAAGCTCAAAGCTACTCCCGTTTAATTGCAAAGGGACCGAGCTAGTAAAACTACCAGCAGGTTAAGTTATGTGCTGCTTACTAACCGGTCTTCATCCCAAACCTTGGTATGTAAATATGTTGACAGTCGACAGAGCATAGCAATATTCTGAAGCGTTGACACTAATGTCATATTCCTCTGGTACAACACGCATGTTTTCAAACCATGCCACATGACCATATTCACAAAGTCAGCTTTCCGAAGTGCTTTGCATTGCTCTTCTTAGCCATCCTGAAGAAAGACCGACCATTTTTACAGCCGAAATTTAAATTTCTTTTTACTGGTCTGCATATACCGAACTGAAACGTGGCTCCTAATTAAACAGAACATATCAGACAACAGAACTTGTTCTATCAAAAAAACGCCTTTGACAACAAGCAGAGCAACATTAAACTTGAGATTTTACAAAGGGAACACTGTGCTGACTGACACCAGTCTTTTATCGAGCATGTCTGAAGTCGAGCAGTCAAAAATAATCAAGCAGCGTACCTGACAGATCTAATATTACTTTAGCCTTAGCAGATAAGCTTGTCATTTCTTATTTTCCCTTCGCTGAAACAGGACCCTGGTGGCACGGGAGCGCAGTCTGCAGCTCCATCACCAGCAGGTGCAGCCAAGTCAAAGGTACTGCACTTCAACAAGCACACCTATCTATATTTTAAACATTATTGCTCAAAAAGGCAAGCAAACAATTGTACTGTTTTCTAGATTAATGCTCCTCTACTTTCTTTACATTGCATTCTCAGCTGGACACACTGTCCAAAGATGACCTTATCAAGTTTGCCAAGAAGCAGATGGCTGCTATGCAGAAGATGAAGAGCAGGTGTGCAGGTAGGTTTAAATCCTGTTAAAGCTTGTGTTTATGTTTGATACTGTGGCTCTGTGGGCTAATAGTATACAGATATGTAACATGATAATATTTCTTTTATCAGATTTGGAAAAAGAGGTTGAATCCCTCAAACAGCAATCCAAAAACAGTAACAGCAGTTTAGATGACTCCACGCTGATACAGGTTTGTCTGCAGGGCAGCATCTCATCATGTCATCATCGTGTGCTTTAGATATTCATATGTTAACATGCTGTTCTTCATTTTCATAATACTGAAGGAGCTGACTGAGAGGATGGATGCCTTGCTACTGGAGAAGGCAGAAACTCAGCAAAGTCTTGCACTGTCCCGTAAAGATCTGGAGAGGAATAAGCAGCAAGCCAAGGTGAAAAAAAAACACATAAGATCTAGTTTTACACTGTGTAAATGTTATATTCCAGTAGATTATAAGATCTATCCATTGATGCATGTATGTTTGTAATGCAACAGGATCTGTTCGTCATGTGCCTGACTGTTACTTTGTGCAGGATGATCTAGCAGTGCTGAAAGGAGAGCTTGACCGTGTGGTAGAAGACCACCAAAGGAAGATCAAGACTCTAGAGAGCAGTATTGAGGAATCCAAAAATAAACACCAAGAAGACGTGTCTTATTTCCAGAAATTACTGAAAGAGCGAGAAGAGAGTGACAGGCAGAGGGAGAGTGAAAGAGAGAGGGCGCGCCAAGCTGAACATGCCAGTGCAAAAGAGAGCACCGAAGAAGTCCGCAGTTGCTTAGAAGTTCAGCTGCAAACCCTTCGAGCTGAACTGGAAGAGATCCATGAGCGAAAATCCCAGGAGATTACTGAGCTACAAGAGAGCCACCAAAGGGAGTTGACAGAAGCCCAGCAGGAGGTGGAGAACCTGAAAGAGGATCTGGCTCAGAAAAGTCTTCAGCACGAGGAGGAAATGAGGGCTCTGGAAGAGGATTGCGAGATCGAGAGGGAGCGTCTCCTGTTGCTCCACGAGGAGCTGACGGAGCAGCTCGCTCTCAAAGGTACAACAGCATTGCATTTAAAGACAGAGATCAGATCATTAACCACTGTTTTTGTTACTATGAAAGCCACTTACTCTCTCAAGTAGGCAGTTTCACTTGTTGAAGCAATGACACAACATGTGATTTAACAGTTACTTTCTTAATGATTTGTGTTTTATTTTTTCATTAATTGTTTAAGATACAAATTGTAATATTTATTCACTACAATTTTTATGAAAAAGTGTCCACTAAACCATCATTTTATTTCTTTATATCTCACACCAAAGAGGCAGTAAAACCATGGTTGATATATTTAAGAACATCATTTCCTCTTGATAACAAGTTTTCTGGATTGAATGAAGGAAAGCTAAGTTATTGCATGCTTTAAATTTGGCTGATATTTATATATACACCAACATGCTATGTTCAATCTTCTGTCTGTGATATAACTAAAGATTTTGAACGTCAGAATAACTTTTTTGAATGCCCATGACCCTATTCCTTTTTTTTTTCCAGACAGCTATCTTCAGGATGTGCAAGAGGAAGATGAGGAACCTGCCCGTGGTTCAGGGATCGCCAAAATGCTGGAGCTGTCTGGCATAAGTCAGGGTGACTCCAGCCACGGTGATGGAGAGGAGACAGAGACAAGCAGATTGAGAGCTGCTTTGGAAGACCTTCAAGCCCAGAACACCATGTTACAGGACGAGCTAACCCTGCTCAGTAATGTGAAGAGTGAGATGGAGGCAGAGCTGGAGAGGGCCAAGGAGGAGTTCCAGATGGAGAGAGAAGAGCTGGAGTTCAAAATCAATGAGCTGCAGTTGACCAGGGAAAGTGCCCCCACTGACCCTGTAATGACTCTCGATCCTGACCAACAAGAGGTCCAAGGAGAATCCAAAGAGTCTGCAGTGAATCCAGAGGAGCAGCAGAAGCTGAACCAGGAGCTGAGGGACCAGTGTGAGACCTTGACCAGGGACAGAGACTCTGCCTTGGCTGAGTGTCAACACATGAGGGAGATACTTCAAGGTGTGGAGACAGAACTGGGTGAGAAGACAAAAGATTTTGTTCTTCAATACAAAGCCATGAAGGAGCAGGCTACTAATACTGTACAAGAACTCCAAAATAAGATTGAACAACTCAGCCAGGAGAGAGATGGACTGTTGGTGAGGGTCAACAAGGTTACAGAGGAGAAAAACACGCTGATGGAGAATATGACAGACCAGAAGCTGAACCCTGAAGGTTGCCCAGGTGAGGATGAGAAACTCCAGGCATCTGTAGAGGAACAAACAACTTTGGTCTGTGAGTTGAAGCAATCTGTGGAGGAGCTAACCAAGCAGAATGAAGAGATCCTCTCCCAAATGCAAATGAAGGAAAACATGACTCAAGACCTTAAAGAGATGGTCAACACACTGACTGAAGACCGAGACAACATACAATCCCTGCTTAAGATGCGAGAAGAGGAAATGCAAAAGCTGAACCATGAGAGAACAAAAGAATTTGAGAGGCTGCAGGAGGAGAAAGAGAAAGAATCACTTTTGCTGAGAGAAGAGAAAGAGAAGCTGAAAGGCTTGAACAAAGAGAACGAAGATGAAGTGCAGCATCTGAAAGAGGAGAGGGAAAAGGTAGAAGAGAGGCTGAAAGAGGAGGTGGAAAAAAAGCAGGAGATAGTTTCTGCTTTAGAGCTGACTATTAAAGAGCTCTCCACAGAAAAGGCTGACCTCCATCAGAAAGTAGAAGAGGCATCCTCAGGGCTTGTCAAAGCCCAGGAAGAGAGGGAGCTTTTGGGCTCCAAGCTTGCAGCCCTGGAGGCTCAGCTGGAGCAGGAGACATCTGAAAAGCATCACCTAGAGGTCAGGTTGAACTCAGTGGCAGAGGAGGCAGAGCAGGCCCGCACCTCCATCAGAGCTCTGGAAGAAAATCAGAATGAAGTACTCAAAAATTCCACAGACGAGGTTGAGGAGCTCCAAGCACGCGTAGATGAGCTAGAAAAGGAGAGGGATCTTTTGAGGAGTAGTCTTGAAGAGGCTCAAGGGGAGAGAAGAACAGAGGACGTGCAAAGGGAGCTTCATGCCCAGATCAAAGACCTGGAACAAGAGAGGAACATGTTGAGAAACAACCTGGAGGAGGTGGTGAAGGACACTGAAGGGCTACAAAAAGATCTGCTGGATATGAAGTCAGTAAGTGAGAAGATTAGTGAGGAGAACCAGAAACTGCAGGCCCAGATTTCTCTGATGACTGAAGAGAAAGAAGAGAAGGAGAAAGGGGAAATGGAAAATATGGAGAAAGAGAAAAGAGAATACAGAGAACAGCTGACGGAGAAAGACTCGCTTATATCTCAGCTGAGGAGCGAGATGGCTGCTCTCCAGGTGGGTGGAGCTCCTGACATGAAACCATGTGAATTTGATACTTAAAGTTGTGTTGATTTTAATCACTGATCATAATCACAACTAAATGACCATATTTTGTTTTAACTGCCTAATGAGATGTGATCATGCAGCCACAAGTGATCAGAATACATTGCTGTCTGAGGCTTTGCCTTTTCTGATACCACCACTGGGAACTGCCTAAATTAGAAATTTTCCCAACTTGCTCATAGGTGCTATAAGTCATGTAGCAAGTAAAAAACTAATATTGTAGTTCACAGCTTTATAAAAGTGAATAAATGGTTGTTTTTCCCTCTGTACCTCTGTGCAGGCATTTGGCATGGTTTTTGTTATTTTGTAGACTAAACTACTCCTTGATTTATTGATGAAATAATATATATTAAGTGACAGATAAGTTAAATGTTCTCTTTTTCTTCGGTCACACTCTTAGGAGTCTGGTGCCCAGCCTGCTTCCTCTGAAGAAACTGTAGCCAATGAGATCACAAATAAAATAGGTATGGAGGTCCATGTCCACTTGTCAATGTTAATGAGTAGGATAAACTAATATCTCAAACTGCACATTCTTTAACTAAATATATAATGTTGTTAGTTTGCCTGCTTGTTGAAGCAGGTAGGAAATTATAAATTTTAACTTCTGCTCCCCTCAGCGCTCCTGGAGAAAGGAAACAAGGAAAAGGATGAAAAGATGAACAAAATCAAAGCGGTTGCCGTCAAAGCAAAGAAGGAGCTGGACATCCATAAGAAAGAGGTAGAGAGAAGAAAGACATTTCTAAACTGTAAATGTTAGTTTGTTATCCTTTATTTAACAACATGAACATAGTAAATACACAGGAAATTGCAATGTCACATTAGTTAAACAGTTAGCAGGAAACAGAGAAATGCACAATAAAAGTTGTAAAGTTGCAGAAATATAATGACATTTCTAACTTTCCCAATCTTCTCATTGTGAAGTGAATATTATCAGAAAGCAGAGTCACATATTCAGGGCACAAGATAGATATAGATTACTGACACTTTTGTCCCTCAATGATTGTACACAGCTCAGTCCATAATTTATTTGATTTTTTTTCCAGGTTGCAACCCTCAAGGAGGAGGTAGAATCACTGAAAGCAGAGAGGGAGAAAGTGAACAGCTCTATGAAAGACATCATCCACGGTGCTGAAGGCTACAAGGTGGGAGAAAATGTACCAGAATATCCTGCTTCACTTCTGTTACTGTATCTTTTTACAGAAACATTGAATCAAAAGTTAAGTGTAATTAACATAATATGTATTAGGAATGCATATTTAAAGTACGTAATGACTTTGATTTCAGATCTATTCCGCAATAGACCACCAATGAAGTTGTAATGGAATCAGTATTGCTTAGTGTTTGACATGCCAGAACGTAGACAATGCAGTATTTATGCTGTGGTTTGTTGTAATTTGTCTTTGTGGTCGATTGAAATTGGCAGTTTTGATCATTAAACATTTGATTAATTCTCTGCATTCCTAACGTTACTAATTGGCAAGTGGAAGAATGCTCTTTTCAAAACAAACTTTGTGTGTGATATTACTCCCAGTGGTCTCCATAAACAGCCCCCAGACTGCACTCTGCTTTCCATGAGAGGAGAAACCACTCTGTTGTGTCTAATGAGAGTTTTGTCCCTTACTCACATCTAAATACAGCTGATATCTGAGATGCATAGTTTTTACCTTCTCTGAGCTGTTTCCAGCAGCTTCAAGTGATGAATGAATGTGTGTGTGTGTGTAGAACCTGCAGATAGATTACGACAGGCAAACAGAGCAACTGGATAAGGAGAGAGAGAAGGTGGAGGCGGCAGAGAGACAGATTGCAGAGCTGACCAAACGACTCAGCAGCACTGTCACACAGGTAACACACACTCAATCACACACGCGCACACACATTACCACTAACAAACACACAAAGTGCTCTCACCCACCAGTAAATCTAAGCAGTGCCTCTTCGTCCAGCAATACATCTCTCCAATACTTATCGCATAACTCAGTTTTCATCTGATTTACAGTGAGTCGTTTTAGCCAGCGACACTTTACCCAGCTATGCTTGACAGCCTTGCACCCACAAATAGCCCATCAGATGTGACTGGGTGAGCTAGGGAGAAATTGTGTTTATATATACTCCTCTCCCCAAGCTCATAACTGTCTCTTTCCAATGAGAGAACAACAGGCAGGTAAATGGAGCGGAGTTTAGCTCCCATCTGCTGTGTGCAAGTGCAACACCATTTTCTGAGACGCAGGTTTATTCTTGTGTTTGCTCATGGGTCTCGAGGGGGGGTGGGCAGACTTGAAGCTAATCAGGGATCTCAGAGTACGTCTGGACTTCTCTGTATACCAATCATAGTTTCAGTGTTTGGCTGACAGATGATGGGAGGTGGCTGCTGCCGCTGCTGGTTCAGTGTACCTTGCAGAGAAAGCCCACAGAGGCTGCTGCTGTCAGATTTGCATGAATGACTTTCAATTGTGTGTTCATACAGGTTTGGTGCATTTGCCTATATGTGTATTTTCAGATGAAAACCTTGCATCTGTAAAATAGTAACATTTCAAGATTTCTTAAAGGTGCGGGGTTGATGTACTTTGCTAATAGAGGTTTTAGTTGCTCTTGGGACCCTTCATGTAAACCAGAGGAAAGGCAGAACATTTTTCACTCAATGAGAGTCCAAACTGGCCTTCTGTAAGGATATTAACCCTTGTTCATTTCACAAATTATCGTTACATCACATTCTCTGTATTGGTAACTCCTGTGAAGTTATCATTTCAAGATGTAAGTTTGTCACTTCACAGAGACAGTATTCTGGAGTATTTTTGCTTTTGCAGAAGGAGACACTGAACAGTGAGAAAGAGGACCTGCTGGCTGGTATGGAGACTGCGAGGAGCACAGTGAGGCAGCTGGAGGCCCAGAACCAGGAGCTGCAAAGACAGTCAGCCAGTCTGGACAAAGACCTGCTGGCTGAGAGAGCTATGAAAGAACAGAAGATCAAGGTAGAAATAAGGAGACATGGACTCTCTGTAAACAGTTTGTGTACTGATCAGAGGTATAATAATATGAAATCTACAGAATACGCAGAAAGCTTTTGGCTAACCAAAAACTTCTTTGTGTTTGCTTGCATGTGCAGGACTTGACATCTGCCATGAAGGAGGTAGAAGAGCTGACAGCCCAGCTCCGCAAGCAGCAGCAGCAGTCTCAGCAGACTGCCCAGGAGCTGGACCAGCTACGCAAGGTACACACACACAGACACACAAATGCTTCTCAGACACAAGCATGTCTCTGAGGGCCTGTCCAGTCAAGCGACTGGACTGGTGATGGCCGGCCTGCAGCTACAGCAGCACCTCTCAGAGAGAAAGAGAGCAATTCTAGCCCACAGCACAGTGGCTGCTGTTGCTTTTCCATTAGTGGAGACCTACAAAGTACAGCAGTGTACACAAACGCTGCCAGGCGGGCTGACTTTGTCATGTGTCTACATTGTTAGTACTGCCCAATAAACATATCATTTTGAGGTTGATATTTTTGAGAGTAAAAGACAGAACATTAGGCACTATTCATTTTTTGGCCCAGAAAAAATATAGATCTTAAATTAGGAAAGATAGGGTTTAGATATGCTAAAAAATCACCTTGCATAATGTTTACCAAATAGGAGAAGATTTAATTGTGTGTCTGGAAGTGTAATTATGGTTTGAGATAAATGACCTGACTGACTGCAGGATGGGGTTTTAGCTTTGTTCCCTGCAATAATGTGGTCTGTTTACACTGCTTGTAGGAGGCGCAGCAGAACTCTCTGCTGGACATGGAGATGGCCGACTACGAGCGTCTGGTGAAAGAACTCAACGCCAAACTCTCAGAGAGAGATGAGCGTGCTGAGGAGCTTAAGACCCAGATAAACACACTCACCCAGAAAGAGGACACACTCAAGCAGGAAATAGGTATGGATGATATGTTCACATTTACACTCACATGCTGACACACAGATTAATACCCCTACAGTTTCTTTTATGTGGTGCTGTAGAATTATTTAGTAATTGGTAGTAAAAACATGCTAGTTTTAATCAGACAGTTGTATCACAGCAGGATTCCACAGGAATGGTTTTTCTGTGGGTTGATCAGACCTAAGACCTAACTCGCGCAGTATTGTTCAGTTCTGCATTAATGAGATAGTAATGTCTGCTGCAGGTTTTAGGAACAAGTCTGCACTCACTGATAGTAAACATCTATTATTCCTGCATTTGCTGTCTACCATGAATGTGAGGGGTCTTACGAGGGGAAACACTGTTGCATGTAATTTCCCTCCCTTTCTCTCTCTCTCTCTCTCTCTCTCTCTCTCTCTCTCTCTCTCTCTCTCTCTCTCTCTCCGTGTTTCCTGTTGCTACACAGTCAAGCTCTATAATGAATGCATAATACTGAAAAAATGTCCTTAAATAAAAATCCTACAGTATGATTTTCACTTAAGCCATTTGATGTGTGTGTGTGTGTGTGTGTGTGTGTGTGTGTGTGTGTGTATACATGTGTCTGTGCATCTGTACGTGTCTCCAGAGGCTTTGAAGTCCCAGCTAGACCAGGGGGAGGAGAAGACCTCCAAGATGAAACAGCTGCTGGTGAAGACCAAGAAGGACTTGGCTGATGCCAAGAAACAGGTCTGTTTGTGTTGGTTTGTGCGTATGTGTTTGTGTTGTGTGTCCCACCGACTTGCCTACTACATTACTGCCTGATGAATGTAAATAGTGTTATGCAACCATGTGTGGGCGTGATTGTGGAGAAGGCCTTGAAGATGCTGGGAGTAGTAAATCATTTGTGTGTTGTTGTGTTTGCATATATGGTTATATGCATTTAAATTGTCATTGTGTGTGTGCACGAGTGCAGGAGACCTCCCTTATGATGCTGCAGGCCTCTCTGAAAGGAGAGCTAGAGGCTCACCAACAGCAGCTAGAAAGCTCAAAGGTAACACAGGCAGCACTACCCAGCAAAACTTCTCTCTGCTCTCCCTTTTGATGAAACATAGAATTTTTGGTCATAAACAAGTAACATATGAAAGTGCGTGTGTTAATGCAATTAGATCGAGGTGTGCGAGTTGATGGCGGAGCGCCATCGTTTGCAGGAGCAGCTGAAGTCCGTGCTGGACCAGCAACAAAGAACCAGCAGCTCCCTGCAGCAACGCATCAACAACCTGCAGCAGGAGAGAGACGCTGCTAAGGTACATTTACATTTTTTTAACTGTTTATCCAGGTTTAACCGACTCTCTCCATCAACATAGTGTTCATATACACTCAAATAGCTCCACCAGAGAGGGGTGAGAGTGAAGTCCGTTTCACAATGACACATAAGCAGTAACTTTCAAGGTGCTGAAGTGAAATGAGACACTCCCAACTTAGATGAATTTAACCGCAGGCTGCACCAGCTCAAGATTTTTTTTTCTTTTTTTAATTTTTGATTAATCATTTATTTAATCTAAATGTTGTCCAAACTGACAACTTGTAATTGCTTTTTGTGTGACCAACAGTCCAAAATCCAATGATATATTATTTATAGTAATATAAACCAGAATGAAGCAGCAAATTCTCCTTTTGGAAAGCTGAAACCAGTGGGTGTTTTTGCCTAATGAACGACTTAAGCAGTCAGTCGTTACAATTGTTTTTGTCAAGTAATTTTCTGTCAAACAACTAACTGATTAATCAGCAGCTTGTTTCAGCACCAATGTGGTGTGACTGGCCACAAAACATGAGGTTGAGAAAATGATCAAATATGGTGCCGTTGACTTGTATTGTGTTAAACTTTTAAGTTTTTCACATAATTTGCCCATTTATATCGGCAAGAGTCTTGTAATGTGGTGTAATTCACTCTCTTTTCTCCATTGTTCTTTTCCTCTCACCTGTCTTTCTTTTTTCCTCTGTTTTCTTCCATTAGACATTTTATTATTCTGCCTTTGCAGTTTTTAATCTTTCCCTCATCTCCTTCCTGTCCTCCCTCACCACCTTGTTAAACCAGCTCAACACTATAGTCTGAGATATTCATATGGATTTTTAAATTGTGTGTGAATGTCATTAAGGAGAAGTATGTGAATGAAGAATATCACTATGTGGGAAAGATGGCTGAAAAGATTAGGTATGCACATTCAGTAAAAGACTTTATTTGAGAATTGTCCTACACAAGCTGAAGCACAAGCATTACAGAGATAAAAAGTGTTTTCAGGTTGAAATTGACTTTTTTATTCACATTTACCTAATGGTGTTTTTCCAGAGAGAGGTACATTGTGCCAGTACAGTGAGTTTGAGTGCAGCAGACTAAAAAAAGAGTACTTTGAGAAAATTTAATGAAGGGAATATGACTAAGAGGGTTGATGACTCATGCATTTGAAACATCATCGGTGAGAAAATTAAGTTACCAGTTTACCGTTTTTTTTCCTTGGGTTTGAGGTTGAATAATATTTAAGATCGTAACCATGAAATGAGGCAAAACTCTAGTATTTTTTATTTATTGTCCAACAGAAATGACAACTACAAATCTGCTCATCTCACAGCCTGTCAAACTCTTTGTAGTTTTATTTCCCCTTTGAGAGAGCTGAACAGTTAAATCAGCAGTAAACATCTTATTTATCGCATATCTACCTATTATATATTATATATATATTACATATTTACCTTTGTGTTGTTTCCAGGCCGAGCTTGTGGCAACAACAGGCGAGTTTGAGAGTTACAAGGTGCGAGTTCACAATGTGCTCAAACAGCAGAAGAGCAAAACCACCGCTCAGAGTGAAGGAGACTCTGGCAAACTAGAGAGGTAAGGACAACACCTGTATGACAGTTTTGTACAACAGGAAGATGCAGGGAGATAATCAGAAAATGTAGCTGTGAATTGTGTCCTGCTAGTGTTCAGTGAATGTAATCTACAGAAGACAGTTACACATTTTATTGCATTAGTTCTGTACTCTAGCACATTGGATTTGAAACGAAACTAACTCAGAGGGTGAAGTGCTGACGCTTAGTTTTAATATGAGGGTGTTCACATTCATATTTTCTGTACAGTAGAGCAATTATAACCCTGTCATTGTGCTGTTGCTGTTGCACTGTTCAAAATTGAGAGGATTATTTATAAGTAAGGCAGCTTCTCTAACATCAGTCACCCTCAAACACCCTTAAAGCTGCGAAACCTGCTGACAAATACACAGCCAGGGAAGAACCTAATACAGGTTGAGTTAATAGCTAGTAATGTAAGAAATGGTAATAAATATTTTAAAACTATAGAAAAAAAACTGCAGACCAGATATTTTTGAACCAAAAAAAAAGAAATGATCACTGTATAACTATTGCATATTGTGTAATACAAGTAAAAGCTATTTGCAATATCAGTGCTGGGATCAGGTCTGATAACACGGCTTGGTCTTTTAAATTGCAGGCACAAACTCAATGAACCATTTTAAAGTGAATACTAATTTAGTAGTACGTGTCAGTCAATGCTGCAAGAGTGATGTGAATGTAATGAATGCGATGGTTGTTCGGCAGGGAGCAGTTGTCCTCTCAGGTAGAACAGCTGAGGTCCAGGCTGGCAGAAAGCCAACAGAGCCTCCAGAGCAACACAGCAGAGCTGCAGCAGCTCCAGACTGAACACGACACTCTGCTGGAGAGACACAATAAAATCCTCCAGGAAACTGTTAGCAAGGAGGCAGAACTCCGTGAGAGGTGAGCTGGCAAGGCTTAAGGTTTGCCATTATTGCTTATTCTTCAATCTCTAAACTCTTCCTTTAATTTCCCTTCACTCTGTCTCCATCTCCAGGCTGCTGTCAGTGCAGTCGGAAAACGTGGCTCTGCGGTCCGACCTGTCCCAGGCTCAGGCTGACCTGTCGTCGCAGGTCGAGGCCCAGCGCCAGACTTACAGGGAGCAGCTGAGGAAGCTGCAGGATGACCACCGGGCCACCGTGGAGACCCTGCAAAGCCAGCTGACCCGTGTTGAGGAGCAACTCTTCAACCTGCAGAGCCAGAACAGTAAGCATGCTGGCAAATCATAAACTTGATCCATTCAAATTTATTAGGCAGAAAGGACTTTATTCTGTATATGAAGTAGCAGTTGAAAAGGGTGAGGTAACACATTTACATTTTATATCACTAAATATCAGAACAATCGAAAAAAGTTCAAACAAATAGCAAAAGGCTCAAGGAGTGAATAAGTGGATCGTATGAAGAGATCTATCAAAGCAGCAAGTGTTGAGTTGAGTATTGAAGTTTTATCGTGTTTAGTCTTGTCTTCTATGAGAGGAATGATGAGAGAGAGAACAGAGAAAGTCTTGGTGTGTTTATCAGTGGAGCCGCACTGGAAGCTCATTCATCACCTCCCACACAGCTGCCCTCTGGAGTCAAACAGCAAATACACACATAGTAATGACTAGGAAAGGCAAGTGCATGTGCGCGCGAGTGTCTCTTCTCTGTCAGTTCAGCACGGCCAGGTGTTGGTGAGGCTCCTCAGCTTTATTCCCGCCTCTCAGTGTGGCAAACCGCTCACTGTGGCATCTGGACAGACTCATCATTAGTGGCTCACAAATGCACGCCAGGATTAGTCCGATATATAGGGCCAATATCAGCCTTTATTGAAAGTTATATTTGAGCCTTTTTACCACTATATTGGGATTTAATTGGGCCTTAATGGCTGTTAAAGTGCAGAAGGGTTCAACATCAGTTTGTTTCATTCCATGTCTTATTAACAGTGAGCTCTCAGCGTCCCAGTGAGGCTTTCCCTATGGACCTTTCTTTCTGAGCCCAAATCAGATTACAGAACCCAGTCACACTTTTTATTCACACTCAGAAAAAACTGCATTTAGCAGGACTTGATCATCTTGGTCATTTCACTCAGCTGTGTGGGGAGAGGGAGCAGAGTAGCAGACTGGAGGGGGGAAGGTCAGGGGACTGGTTGGGAGTCTGGCCTCTTGGTTCAGTTTCAGGTTCATTAATCACAATCCTCTCTTCTGTCCACCCACTCCGTCATGCACCCCATCCTTCCCCTCAACCTTCTCTTCACACTCATCATTGTTTATTCCAACTGAGCTGGTTAACAGAAGAATGTGTCTGGTGCCCCCTCATGTCACAGTGAAGTAGGACACTGACTCACAGCTTGGTGGGAAATTTAGTAGGAATTCATAGTCAAGGATTGCGCATACTGCTGAAGCATGAAGAGTCCAGATGTGCTCTTTAATAAATTTAAGTTGCCTTCACATGTCTTAGACTTATTTGACCTCTTGTCTGACACATAAAAGCACTTCATGGTGAAGCCATGATAGTTAATGTAATCAGAGCATGGCAAAATTAACACATTACCACATGCACCAAAACACCAAAGCAAATTCCTTGTATGTTGGCAATAGACCAGATTCTAATTCTGATTCTGAGTACATATTGAATTGGAAGATAATCTGTAATTTTATCCAGTTTTAAAGGTAATCCTAGTTTATGTAACCCACTCTTAACTGACAATAGCTGTACTTTTAAATGTAATTGTCTGTTGTTTGTGAACCTCATTCTCTACTTTTTCACAAAATCTTTTTCTTCTATGAACCTTACGCCCTCTTTCAGGTGCAGTGTCAGTCCAGACCAGCCGTAAACCTCTGGCATCAGACCTTCAGCGGAGAAACACAGATCAAAACCAGGCAGGGCTGGGACTAGTGGCCCTCAGCGACCTTCAGTCTATGGCCAGGGAAGAGGGTGAGGGTATGGAGACCACTGAGACTGAGAGCCCCTCTCCTGCACTTACACCCCTACCCTCTCTGGAGCAGCTTCTCACATCTCCGGATCCCAAACAAGGTGTGTTTAACAGCAGAGCTGCACCATGAACAGTATGTAATCTAAAAAAAAATCTTGCAATGAAAAACAGCCATCATTCTGTTTGGGTCAAAGAATGGAAATTTAGTAAGTAAAAATTCTACTTCACTATACACTGTTGGGATTATTATTCATTTTTTAATGTATCTATTTTTGTGGGAGCATGATAGTATAGTCTAAAATAAACAGCATATTCTATCTATGACAGTGAGTCACCTAATCATCCACACTATGTTAAGAAAAAAAAAAAAAAAAACATATTAGTACATGAGGCATGCACTTGGCTTCTATACCCAGAAACTTGTCATAGCACGATCTTTACTCATGTGTGTCTCTTTGGTTTCACTTCTAGAGCCATTTGTGTGGACAGTGGAGCCTACTAAAGAAGAGCTAAATCAAAAGCTGACCACAGCCACCCGCAGCATGGAGCATATGAATAGCCTGCTGCATGAAACTGAGGCCACGAATGCAGTTCTCATGGAGCAGATCACTGTATGTATATGTACACAAACACACACATGCAGAAAGCACAAAGACGTTAATCAGTTTACTTTCACAATATTTTGTTCTAAAAGTTAATTTAACTTGATTAATTAAATTTCAAATTAATCCAATCAAATTTAAATATGAAACACACTTGAATGGATTTCATAAATATAATTTTAAAATCCCTCTCTAAAAAACTGTTTCATTCTGAGAGTTTGGGGTCCAACTAACAATTGCTGCTCAAATTTACTGTCACCTAATCTGACATCTTCAAATTTCTTGTTTTGTGCAACCAACAGTCCAAACTGACAGCTATTCAATTAAATATCACATGACAAGAAACACTGCAATTCCTTACAATTAGAACTGGATCCAGAGAATGTTTGATATTTCTACTTGATGAATGATAATTTCATTGATTGTCCAAATAACTTGACTAACTTTTACTGCTCTAAACAGTGTCAACACAATAGATGTGTACTCGTAGAAATGAACCCAAACCAGTCTATACTCTTGGTCTTATAGATTTATTTCAGTGAAGAGAATCAATCAAACATAAACCGACATGCCATAGTTGTGTAAAATCAGATCTTTTGACCAGTCATCCATTGGTTTTTGGTGCCCAACACAATTTTGGAAACCCCATCTTAAACTGGCCGGTATGCCCCAACAGTGATGTCAAACAGCCTAGCGTTGTTCAGGGTCCCCTCTTTGTCCAAGAGATAGTAGAACTTGTGTCCTTTGACCCTGAGGGGGATGAATGAGGGGGACTCATGTCTGTGAGCGTGACAGGCTACCTCAGACAGTGGGACTGTTATTCTCTGGCCTCGGCTTGGTCCCAAAGGTGACTGTGTGCAAACTGTCACCATCCTCCCCCCTTGATGTAAAACCACCTGGCTTACAGAGCGACGACAAAACAGAATCCCGAGGCCGACTATCCCTGCTCCTATTGCCAGGCATCCCAGCGTGAAGCCATACCTCCAGGTGTTTGACCCCAGGTTCATCTCAAAACTCCACATCCCAGCCAGCCCGGTGGTAGTGGTTGTGGTGGACGCCTTGGCTTTCCCTTTATCTGTAGCGCCCCTTGTGTTTCTGAGCTCAGTGTAAGCGAAGTGAGCCATGTACGTCCAGAAGAGAAACTGTCCGCCGCAGAAAACCGAGAGGAGTCGGAAGAAGCGGGTCCTGTCGTGCTCGAACAGGGTGACATCTTTGGAGGGCTGGGTGGAAGTGGAGAGGCTGCGGCGGGCTGCCAGCTGCCTGTGAACGGCACCACGGCGGCTTGTGAGGACGAATATCCTGCTGCACAGTCCCGAAACACACGTGACCCGGTTGGACAGGCCGCTGCTCGGTGAAGTCTGTGAAGACATGGACGCGTTTCGAAAGGCACTGACTTTGTGCTGAATATTAACGAGTCGAAACTGTCTGGAGTAAAACTCCAGCACCCCATTCAGCAGACGCTCTAATCCCATCTTTAAAATGGTTTTTCCACACCTAAATGGACAACTAACACAGTATACGTTCAGAATAATTTGACATGACAGGCTTTTCAATGTCTCTCTCCCAACACACTTGACAGATCTTTCTAAGGGAGCGCCGCCATAGTTGCTAAGTGTGACGTAAGCTGTTACACTACGGAAAGCAGCGATGATCAAAATTACTATCGCCTGTTTAAAAGAGTAACGCGAAATACGTACAACCAACAAAAACATTTGGATTTCAAATTCTGTTTCTAATGACAGTTAAAGAATATGTTTTTATGTATAATAACGCACAATAATAAGTTTGCATTGTATACGAAGAAAGAAGAAAATGTCTGTACCCTGTTTAGTCTTTCTAAAATAATTTCACTCTCTTGATATAAGCGTATTGCTTACTAAATTTTTTTCACAGCTGATATTTTTACATTTCACAGATGGGAAAGCACATGTGTCAGCAATAACATAAATGATGAATGTGTACCATCTCCTTTTGCCAGTGCAGGCTGGTTCAGTAGCATGTCTTTCTGGTTCCCTTAATTTGAACGGAGCCAGCTTTGATGTAATTAGTTACACCCATATCTCTGCTGCTATGACAAGTAAAATGTTCAATGAAAAAGGTCTATTGCCCCCAAAAATATATCTTGTCTAAACTAGTAAGAGATATGCAGGTTTTTGGACGCTAACAATGTTGGATAGAGGGAATTTATCAAATCTTAGGTTTTTTTAAATTTATTTCATATTTTGCCGGTATTTTTCACCTGCTAGTTGTTGAAGAGTGAAGTACGTCGTCTAGAGCGGAACCAGGAGAGGGAGAAGAGCGTGGCCAACCTGGAGTATCTGAAGAATGTCCTGCTGCAATTCATCTTCCTGCAATCTGGCAGTGAGAGGCAGGCGCTCCTGCCCGTTATTCACACAATGCTGCAGCTCAGTCCAGAGGAGAAAAGCAAACTGGCTGCCATTGCACAAGGTATAGTATGTAGTATGTATTATTTGAGTGCACATAGTACACACTGTACTATGTGCACTCAAATGTATCATAAAAACCACTGTCATATTGCTAAAAAGATTTATTGTGTAACATATAAACTAAAATACACACAAAATTTAGCAGTACTGGTTAAAAATATGCTAGCAACCTGAGCGCTGACCAAACTGCCTATAAACTCTAGGTTTGTCTCCGCAATGCTGTCAACATTCACACACAGCATCTGAGTGCACACAGACTCAAACACCCTATAAATTATTAATTGATTATGCAATAACTTTTATAGACACATACACCTACCTTTTGTTAATTCAAACAAAAATTATTTTGTTGGTTTTTTGTCTCAAGGTCTTGAAGTGCTATAGTATATAGTATCCCTAATGTCTTACCTGGTGTTCTTGGCTCTTTGTGTAGGTGAGGAGGAGGGGTCCGGAAATCGGGGCTCAGGCTGGACCTCCTATCTCCATAGCTGGTCTGGAATCAGATAGACTTGATAACTAAATCTTGATAAATAACAACAAAAACACTGGGAGCACATGCTAAGATGTTACTGGGCCTTTTTTCTGTGATAAACCTGTACTGAGCAGTGATGCTGTATATTCAAAGCAGTGGCAAATGAATGGGAGATAATCTGGGGCATTTACAAAATTTTTGTGACACAATAGAAAGGACCAAGGAATGTGCCGGGAAAGAATGAGTAGGTATTGGGTAGAGATAAAACCAAAACATTTGAGATGAATATTGATTGAATTAAAAGTGCAATAGGTACATTAGTCTCTTACCAATGAATGTTAACTGTGATCTGGTTCTGTCTTCCATATTCTTACTATTGAAATGTACTTGTATTTATAATAACATTTACTGGACATGATTACACTTCCTTGAAATGGAGCTCATAAGGCATTATAAAGCATCATTATCACAATGAAAGTATTGTGAATGGATATAACACATTGGGTATATCATGTTGTAAGAATAACATTGTATAATACATATGATGTGCACAAATTATAACAGGAATTAATCAAGGGCATAACTGTAGTTAATGGCATAATGTAACGTGAATATGATATTCAGATGTATGATAACTTTGCAAGAAAATTTTACTTACTTCTACTGGGCTTGTACTGGGTAGCACAGCACAATTGAAGGACTTTACTGGTGTTTTAGCTCTTTTGGTACAAATAATACACATGCTTTACATTTCTTCCAACTGTTTTTAAGGGCATATTTGCGTGTTATAGACGTGAATGTGTTTTCACTACCTAAGAGGCAGCCACCTTTTCCTTTTATTGCAGTATGAAAATTAACAGGAAACTTGCTCAGTACCTCATTGTTTAAAATCATCTCTACTTTTCCTTTTTACTAGTTTTGTCTGGGAGGTAAAAAAAAAAACCATTAAGAAATTTTCACTGCTTTAGAAAACAATTAATTAAAATCTTTTCAGTAATTCTATCAAAATACTTTCGAGTACAAAGAAGTGCATATCTAACATTCTCAGGTTCACCTGATCTAGATGACTGAGCAATATCATATTTAGTGTATTTGCACTTTTTCTGATGGATTTTGCAGTTGTTCACTAATGCCTCAAATCTGAAGTCAGAAGCAGTTAAAACTTTCATTTATGTTGTGTGAGTTGTGGGTTATCATGTCCTGTAGTGATGGATTTTGTTTTGGTTTCTGTGTATTTTGTTGTTATGGTTTGTTGTGGTTGTTATTATTTAATACCAAACTATTATATTCAAGGTTTCCATTTCTGTTTTGGGAATCCTTTCTGGTTTTGTTGCTTGTTGTGCTGCTGTTAAATCTCTGAACATGAGAGATTTGTTGCAACTCCATCTGAAGACAGCTGTCTTGTTGAAGGACAGTTCCCATGACAGCAAGCACATCCCCCCTGCTTAAGTGACCTTGAGCATGACTCCCTAGCAGACCCATGGGTGCTGCTTTTTACAGTGTCTCATCATGACCTCTGACCTCCCTGTTGAGATGGGAGTGGGTGGGACATAATTTGCACAGAAGCCCCCCTTCCCCTAAAATTCACATCCACACAGTTTAACATTACATTAATACATTTTTGCTCAAGTCTTACCGGTGATGAAGCTAATTGGCCTGTTTGTTTTCTCATTCCAGTGGCAGCTTTTTTGTGATTGCTTCAGTGTGAGTGAATGTATTTTTATCCAAGGCTTTTATATTTATGACAGTTAATGTCAGCATAAACTATGAGAGATTACCGTAACTATAAAATATTATCTGTACAAGAGTGAATGGGCATTTACTAGCAGTGAGTTTCTGCTAAAAACTTAATTTACGTGAGACAAAGAGAGTTCTGGGTTTTTCTGGTTTATTTCTAACTGTAAACGAAAAATAAAGTCAACATGGATGAGAAAGTTTCCAGTTACTTTGTAATGCACTTCGATACTAAACGTTGTATATACAGATCATAAAAGCCATCATTAGCCAGATGTTCATTTTAAACAAATATGAATTGCTAGATATTTAACAGAAGGGGCTACAGGATAAACATAAAAACACAAGTGTTCATATTCCCTCTTCAGGTCTACAGACTTGTAAAGTCATGGTTTTCTTGCTGGACAAATCTGTGAGGGAGACCAATTTTCTCATCTTCAGTCTCAGTCTGTAATGTGATAGGATGCATCAATCGTCTGTTTCTTACTATGAAATTCTTTCCTTACTATGACAGTCCTCATCCCTCTTGAAGGAGGGAAGGGGGTGCACGGGCTTGCCTTTTAAGGAAATAAATGTGGTTTAGGGTATCATGACGCAGTCAGGGGAGGAAACAACAAATAATAGCTGCAGTATCTGCTACTGGAAGGAGAGGTAAACATGTTTTTATGTTCTTGCCTCCCTGGGGAGCAGCACTGTCATTAACACCTTGCAGTTAAGTGATGTATTTCTCCCTAATATTTTCTTTGCTTTTAATTTTATCATTTATTCTTGTCCTCTTATGTTTTTGCTCAGTAGTCATAGTGACACATCATTTCCATTAAGTGCCTCTGTAAAAAGCTGTGGATGGTTTCAAAAAAATCACTGTCCTTGGTCTGAGACCGGTTTCTTCACCCACCCTTTCCTCGACACCCACCCGCCATGTTGAACTTCCGTATATTTTCCAGAATGAAAACTTTCCATATATCCCGAGCTGATGTTTCATGTACATGATGCAAGACTAAAGAGGATGGAGTAGCAGCAGCAGAGGGGTCAGCCTCATAACACACGTTTAATGTGTTGACTCAAAAATACAAGTTGCACTGAGTTCGCAGGGCGGGTCTGGCCGTTTTCTGGCTGTAAAACCCAAGTTGTATCTCTCCAGTGGTGGAAGCTCGCAGACTGAGTGAGAAGCTGCCAGAGATACACAGCAAAACAGTAATCAGATCCGTTGATTTTCAAAATAAAAGCACCGAGCTATCTCATTAATTTGAGTGTATTAGTCCTGTCAAAATGTGGCTTTAGTTTCATTCCCCCATGAGCAAGCAATTGGCGACAGCTTCAAGAAAAAACTCAGGGAAGAAACTTTGAGGAAACTGGCTCATGTATGGTGGGTGGACGTCTGCCTCAACCGTTTGGGTTGAGAAAGAAAGACAGAGGGGGAGAGAGAGTATAGGAGGTATGGGGAAGGGGATGAGGGTGAAGGAGATGGAGGAAAGGTAGAGGGGTATTTGAAGGAGGGTGGAGAGAAAGAGGGTGAGGGGAGAGACGGGGAAAGAAGGTGGGAGGAGGGGGCTACACTTGTCCAGCCTGAGCTGAACAACCAGCAGCTTCCTCCACCTCACTGCCGCCATCACATGTCACAAAATGCTACAAAAATCACAAGGTGTATCACTTCTTGAGTGCAGAAGACTGCTCAGACATTAGAACAATACATATAAAAGTAATTTTTAATAATAATAACAATGGCTGTGGTCTATTCAAGTGTCTTGCTAAGTATAAATAATAGGAAGGTTAACTTATGTGTTATCATAGCTCAAAACCAAGAAACAAGCCTGACTGTTGTAGATATACATATATTGTATGTTATAAATTAAGATGCTTGTGAGTAAATCTGCTTGCAAGTCAGTCACAGCTTGTTGAACAGATATGAAACCAAAAATCTAAAATCTAAAATCAATAAACTGACACTTAAACACATTTGTGCGAGTAATGCAGTATATTTTAATTATAATTATGTAATATCATTTTTATATATTTTTGTAAACAACAAATAGTTTTATAGAATCACATGTAATGTATCCTTCAGACTAAAAAGTATTTTTTTTAAAGAGTAGACGTTTCCATTGTATTTATTTATTTAAAGTATTTCCTTTTGTTTTTATTTACTAGTTCACATTTCTAAGAGGCAGCAGAATGGTTTTACTTTGAAAGTGACAAGCGGAAGTGTAATGTTCCGTTGAGTGTGTCTTGACGGTTGGAGGAAGAGGCGAGGCCCAACATCGCCATTCTGCTAGCTGTGGGAAAAGCGAGCCTTGCTAACGTTACTGTACATCCCAGACTGTACAACATCTGGGCGGCTGCAGCTGAGGACAGAAAACACAAGCCTGGTCCGGAAGAGAGCGGAGTGATGCTCGGCATTACTGAAATGACAAACGGGTAAGTGAGGAGTTTAAAAGTATTTCTTTGGGAGACACATTTGCCTGAAAAGTTGGGAAGTTGACAGTTTGACGCTGGAAGGAAAAAAAACGTAGTCCCGTTCGGCTCCATTCTCTTATGTGCTGGGAAAACTTTAATTTAATCACGATGAACTCCATTTACAAAGCTGCCAGGTTAATGTTGTCTTTCATATACTAAAACCTGGCTTATGTACATTTTAGAGAATAGCTTTAACACGGAAAGTTAAATCACATTAGCGACATACTAACAGTTATTTTCTCTGTGTAGCTGCAATCTCAACTTGGCCACTTAAGCTACTAGCTAGCGCCCCCCACTGTTATTGGTGGAAGCTTTTAGCTGACGAGCTACAGTATCAACACAAAGTCTTATACTCTCCTCTGATTAAACAATGACATGAAAAAGATTTTGTACATAAATGATTGTGGAAGTGCAGCTGATACTTTGGTATTGGTAATGTTTTTTTGTTGTTGTTTTTTTACATAACTAATAGGCATCAATAAATCAAGTACTGCAACAGTAACTCTCCTTTACTGGAAACTACTACCTCATTCTTGCATTTAAAACCACGGTGCTGACAGCTTTACACCAATATTGATAATAGCTTAAACAACTTTCAGTTTACCCAAGTCTGCCTGTAAAAACCCCCTACTCCATGCTGGAATAATTTCTGTGTTCACATATCTCACATATAACAAATAGTCATAAATTCATAAACTTTAGTCTGGAAATTATTCTCCACTGTGTTGTACTGGAGATTTTGACACTAATTGTACAGCTTTTGAATAGAAAAAGCCAAAATAGCTTGAAAGGTAACTTGATATATTTGTGTCAACCTAGACTCACACTTTAGACAGAAGCAATAGACTCACAGAATAGCAGTGAGAAAGACATTTTAAAGACGGAAAGATGATGTTTCTCCATTTTCTGCAGATCAACCTCCTCCCTGCACAGGAATGTCCACACAAACTCACTGGACAGTAGTTATTGCTTTCAAAACCGCTTCCTGACCATCATTTCCCTGGGGACTGCTATTCACAGCAATGTTTTTTCCACTAGTGTGAATGCTACTGTGTGCACCAACAAGTTAATTATGACCTGGGATGAATCAGGCATTTATAAAGCCTTCTGGACATTTAAAGCAGTATGAGGGCGAGTCATTTAAAAGGCCTGAGGATTGCTGCATTCCCAATGCATTAGACTTTTATCTGATTCCACACTGTGTTGATACAACTAGAGCTTAGAAGAATGTCTCAGTCTGCAGTGTGAACTTGTCCTTGTTTGGAAGAGCAGTGAACTTGTGTGATGTAGGATTTGGACTGTGTGTGTACTAACTTGATGCATGTGGCGTGAGGGAGTGTGAAATGTTTATTGTGACTCACACATACTGTTGCTTATTGATACTACATTAGATTATTAACTTATAACAGGAAGAGTTTCTATACCAGATTAAGTTATTGAGATTTCATTGGGTGTCCCATGATTTTACAGGCCTGGAAGCACAACAAACTCTTACCACTGTCTTCACACTAAAATGCATTTAATGTGAGGTAGACTGAGGAAGTCTTATGTTAGTATCAATAGTAGATTTATGTATCAACATTTGCTTACTGCAACAAATGAACAGAAGACATTGAGGCTCTTGCAGTGATAAAGCTTTCAGAGTGATAGAATTACTGCTTTCGTTAATGATAAATAGGGCCATATTATGCACAAGTAACTACTGCCATATGTGTGACTTTGTATCACATATGTGTGACTTATACAATCACAATTATGAGATGTTAAATTATAAATTTAAGTGAAAAATTTGACTTCCTAGTCTGAAGCTTATTTCCTGTGAAAAGTTTAGAAATAAACAGTTTTACAAATGCCCTACAGTTCACTGACAAACACTGTGGTTTGCAAATACAAAACATTAACAAATGAATGCATTTTTTTTTCGAAAATACAAAACATACCTATAAAACAAACATACTTCAGAAACAAGTAGTGACAACAGTGTGTCTTACAAGTACAAATAATATAGCCTGCAAATAAATAAGATATCAAGTGACTTACGGTACAATCTTTCTTCTGGATCTTTTCACAAATGTCCTGAGTAATTTGCCTTGCACGGCAGCAGGTGGCGCTAGGAGTCAATTTAAATGTGCTGGGAGGTTGAGAAGAGTAGAGCAGATTGAACAGCAACAATCAGCCACTGTGGACAAGAGGATGATCACCTTCTAAGACTAAGCTAAATCACAAATGAGCGGCCAACCGGTGAGTTTGTGTTTGCTGCTGGTGAAAAATCTAATGTTAACTAAACTCCACAAATTACTGTTTTTGGTTGGTAGGAAGATAAATATCTAGCATAGAGCTCATGACCAAAAAAGCTAACCTAATTTACACCAAGTTTGGCTAATTTTCCTTTTTTTTTCTTGTTTATGTCTCACTATCAGTCTCAGTTCACACAGGGTAGATTAATCACACAGTTTATAACTTAAAACACGTATTCTAATTAAACTGAGCTTAGTTATACTTCATATAGGTAGTTGGTGAGCATGTAAACCTAGCTATGTCCAAAAATGATGCATTGGGCCTTAAACTACGAACATTTTATTGGTAAATGATAACAGAAAACTTAGACATTTCTCATAGGGTTGGTAGAATTGGGTGACCAGGCACCCTGGTTTACCCAGGACAGTCCAGCTTTTGGGTCTGTTTTGTTTGTTTGTTAGTTTGTTTGCTCCATACATGTGGTTTGTGAGATTGC